CTTCGAAACGTGGAACGATTTCCGTTCGTTACGAAACGTCGGAATTTCCGGCGATCGCGCGTTTTTATCGAGGACGTCCGGGATGCGTAATTATCGGCGAAAACGCGGGAATCGGAGTTTAATTACTCCGGAGAAGCATGGGCCGGTACTTTAATCGAGTTACGAGTCGCGGAGTAATTAGAGCACCTAGGGCAGTACTCTGGGTACTCGGTGAATTTCCCGAAACGCGGAAAATTGCCGGCGAGCCCGATCGAGTTTTCCGGGGACAATGCGAAAACTTTTGTGAGTCGGATTTATTCCTCCTGTGTAATTGTGTGATTTTAAGTGGTGCCAAATAAATCGGAGTTTCCCCCCTTAAATGCTGTTTTACTCTTCCTATAGAGAGCGCTCGGTATGTTTATTAATTCGATGTAATTCATACAGAGCTGTATTAAGAGAAGAGTCGTACCGAAATTATATCGACGAGTTTATTCAGCTAATTGCGACTTGATTGCAATTTTTGTAACGGGGTATCCAGACCGGTCGTACGCAAGAGTTGCGCTATAATAAAAAAATTGATGAGTTTGTACAGCTAATTGTGACTGGATTACCATTTTTTAAGGCGGTATTTAGGGTATCCAGAGCGGTCGTCCGAGTCGTACGCAAGAGTTGCGCCAAAATAAAAGATTTTATGAGTTTGTACAGCTAATTGTGACTGGATTACCATTTTTTAAGGCGGTATTTAGGGTATCCAGTGCGGTCGTCCGAGTCGTACGCAAAAATTGGGCTAAAATTAAAAAATTGATGAGTTTGTACAGCTAATTGTGACTGGATTACCATTTTTTAAGGCGGTATTTAGGGTATCCAGAGCGGTCGTCCGAGTCGTACGCAAGAGTTGCGCCAAAATAAAAGATTTTGATGAGTTTGTACAGCTAATTGTGACTGGATTACCATTTTTTAAGGCGGTATTTAGGGTATCCAGAGCGGTCGTCCGAGTCGTACGCAAGAGTTGGGCTAAAATTAAAAAATGGATGAGTTTGTACAGCTAATTGTGACTGGATTACCATTTTTTAAGGCGGTATTCAGGGCGGAGGTCCGATCAAATCGATTACCCGTTCCCGAGGAAATTGCGGAGACCTCTCGGTGGACAGAAATGTCTTCCGAGCCCATCGATCGGTCGACGGTTCAATTTCCGCGGAAATGCCGCGGATTCCGCGAGTGCGGGCCAAGCCGCGGCCGCATTACGGAACCATCGGGACTTCCGGGATTCCTGAGGTCCATCGTTCTTCGCGATCCCACGGTTCCCCATATTCGCGCTCTTCTCTTTTTGGCATCGCCTTAAGGGGACGTGAAAGTGACATTCGAGAGATCGATCGTTCATGATACTTTTCTCCCAACTGAACTAACCGAGTGGTCTGAAACTCTACAACGTGAATATGGAGGCTATTAGGAAGGTCCTGGTCCCCGTGAAATTTTAATTTTTAATTAAAAATGTTAATGATACTTATGAAGAAAAATTTTTAACGATTGAAATTTTACGGGGGTCAGGACCTTCCTTATAGCCTTCACATTCACGTTGTGGAGTTTGAGACGATTCTCTGCACATTTCACGAAGGAGATCGACCCCTCCGCTGTCACTTTCACATCCCCTTAAGCAGAAGAGACTTTTAAGGGCGAGGGCCAATTCCGAGATGGTGAAACGCCATCCCGGAGGTTACGGCGAAACTCTCGCCGGTAGTCCTGGATGTCGGGGGCGCGATCTAGGGGTTCCCATTTTTTTCCTTTTCCCCGTTTTCTCTTTTACCTCCCCGGGACCGATATTCGACGCAACGGCGCGAGGGTGCTCGACTTGCCTTTTATCTCGGAGCAAATAACGGCCGCGGACTTGGGGGCAGATTTCGAGAGAGAGCCCGTAGAATTTGTACGCGAGGAACGAGTTCGGCTCGAGGACTCCCGCCAGGGATTACCCTCGTCGAGAGTTCGTCAAACGTCCCTCGATAGGTGGCCCCGAGCACTCGTCCGTTCCGAGTCTTCCGAGACTTCCGCGACTTATCACGACTTATCACGACTAAGGGTGGATTTCGCTGGGTCGTTTTCAAAATTCCGGCAAACAATGTTGTTTGAACCGATTTTTCGGATTTTCAACATTATTTCAAGCCGTTCGTTTCAAGGATAAGTGGTCTGAACACTCGTCCTTTCCGAGTCTTCCGCGACTTATCGCGACTTATCGCGACTTATCACGACTTATCACGAGAGAGGGTGGATTTCGCAGGGTCGTTTTCCAAATTCCGGCGAACAACGTTGTTTGAACCGATTTTTCGGATTTTCAACATTATTTCAAGCCGTTCGTGTCAAGGATAAGTGGTTCGAGTACTCGTCCGTTCCGAGACTTCCGCGACTTATCGCGACTTATTGCGACTTATCGCGACTTATTGCGACTTATCACGACTTATCACGAGAGAGGGTGGATTTCGCAGGGTCGTTTTCCAAATTCCGGCGAATGACGTTGTTTGAACTGATTTTTCGGATTTTCAACATTATTTCAAGCCCTTCGTTTCAAGGATAAGTGGTTCGAGTACTCGTCCGTTCCGAGACTTCCGAGACTTATCACGACTTATCACGAGAGAGGGTGGATTTCGCTGGGTCATTTTTCAAATTCCGGCGAACAACGTTGTTTGAATTGATTTTTCGAATTTTCAACATTATTTCAAGCCGTTCGTTTCAAGGATAAGTGGTCCGTTCCGAGTCTTCCGAGACTTATCGCGACTTATCACGAGAGGGTGGATTTCCCTGGGTCGTTTTCCAAATTCCGGCGAACAACGTTGTTTCAACTGATTTTTCGGATTTTCAACATTATGTCAAGCCGTTCGTTTCAAGGATCTCCAGGAAAGGTTGATTGGTTCACTTTTGCCATTTTTTTTTTTTTTTTCAGTGCCGTTAATTAGTTCACTTTCGGAATTTCCGAGCGTCGTTAATCGCCTCGCATTAAGGATTTTCCCTCATTTTCGGAATTTCTCGAACGTCGCTTATTAATTCACTTTCAGGACTCTCGAGGGCGGTTAATTGGCTCACTTTCAGGATTTCCGAGTCTCGCTGTTTAATTCACTTTTGGCATTTTTTTTTTTTTTCAGTGCCGTTAATTAGTTCACTTTCGGAATTTCCGAGCGTCGTTAATCGCCTCGCATTAAGGATTTTCCCTCATTTTCGGAATTTCTCGAACGTCGCTTATTAATTCACTTTCAGGACTCTCGAGGGCGGTTAATTGGCTCACTTTCCGGATTTCCGAGTCTCGTTGTTTAATTCACTTTTGGAATTTTCGAGCGCCGTTAATTAGTCCACTTTTGGAATTTTGGCGAGCGTGGTTAATGAGCTCCCGTTCGGGGATCCTCGAGAGTCGTTGATTTCCGCTCACTTTCCGTAATTAATTCCCTTTGAGAATTGTCGATAACCATTCGTTAGGTCGACTTTCCGAATTTTCGAGAGTCCTCGGTCGGAAACGGGGGACCGTGGCGTTAACGACGAGGAAATTAATAACTATTATCACCGGCTCACCCGACCCTTTAATCGATGGACCCAAGGGGGTCCTGGAAGGAGAGGAGCTAGGGGGAAACTAGGGTGCCGGGGTTATCGGCCGTTAGTTATCGCTATCGGAGCGGCGCCGGGAGTTCGCAGTAATCTTAATGCGTAATTTAACACCTGGATGTACCGAGATCCGACCGTACGGTTACGGGGGTAATTAAACCGGGCAATTAAAAGTTTGCGACCCGCCGGCGTGTTTTTCTATTATTTTCATATTTTCACATATTTTCAATATTTTTCTTCGGCGATCCAAGGTAAAACGATGCGGTTATCGTTCGGGATTTCGACGCTTCATATTTTCCGGAAGGGGTCCCTTAAAAATGAACTCCGATGAACGATTAAGTTTATTTATTTTTTTTTTACATACTTTTGCGGGGTTAACGAGTTACAATGTCGTTACGGTTTACAAGCATCTTATGTACATGTACTAATGGTCTCTCCAAGCTCGGGCGGCTTTCCTCTCGACGAGAGATATCTAGTTATGATATCGAGTCAAGGTACATTTAATCAAGGTACTGAGTCAAGATATCGAGTCGAAATGTCAGATGTCGGGTGAAGGTACCGAGTCACGATATCACGACAAAATACCAGATTTCAAGTGAAAATACCAAATTAAGGTACCGAGTCGAGGTATATTTAATCAAGGTACTAAGTCAAGATATCGAGTCGAAATATCAGATGTCGGGTGAAGGTACCGAGTCAAGATATCACGACAAAATACCAGATTTCAAGTGAAAATACCAAATTAAGGTACCGAGTCAAAATACCAGATATCGAGTCAAGGTACATTTAATCAAGGTACTAAGTCAAGATATCGAGTCGAAATATCAGATGTCGGGTGAAGGTACCGAGTCAAGATATCACGCCAAAATACCAGATTTCAAGTGAAAATGCTAAATTAAGTTACCGAGTCAAAATACCAGATATCGAGTCAAGGTATATTTAATCAAGGTACTAAGTCAAGATATCGAGTCGAAATATCAGATGTCGGGTGAAGGTACCTCGTCAAGATATCACGCCAAAATACCAGATTTCAAGTGAAAATGCCAAATTAATGTACCGAGTCAGTATACTAAATTAAGGTACCGAGTCAGGATACCACATTAAGGTACCGAGTCAAGATACCAGATATCGGGTGAGGATACCAAATTAAGGTACTGAGTCAAGATACCAGATATCGGGTGAGGATACTAAATTAATGTACCGAGTCAGGATACTAAATTAAGGTACCGGGTCAGGATACTAAATTAAGGTACCGGGTCACGATACCAAATTAAGGTACCGAGTCAAGATACCAGATATCGGGTGAGGATACCAAATTAATGTACCGAGTCAGGATACTAAATTAAGGTACCGGGTCAGGATACTAAATTAAGGTGCCGGGTCACGATACCAAATTAAGGTACCGAGTCAAGATACCAGGATACCAAATTAAGGTACCGAGTCAAGATACCAGATATCGAGTGAGGATACCAAATTAATGTACCGAGTGAAAATAGCAGACATCGAGGGAAGATTCCAAGTCGAGATCTCGGGGTCGGTCCAGGAGGCGATAGGGGAGCGACAGCGGGGCATCTAGGCCACGATGTAGGGCGCGCTGTAGGTGGCCGCGTAATAGGGGTACGCGGAGTAGGGGTACGTATAGGGGTAGCTGTAGGCGGACGTGTAGGCCACCGGAGCGGTGTAGGCGCTGTAGGCGCTGTAGGCGACCGGGGCCGTGTAGGCCGCGCCAACCAGGAGGCCGCGTTTGTCCCGGGGAGTAGCCTCGACGTCCCCGTTGATCACTTCCGCTCTGCCGGGCTCGATGGACTCCGCCTCCAGGGGCTTGCTCTCGGAAAGCGCCACCAGGGCCAGAACGAGGACGACCTGCGACGAGAGAGCATATCATCCGTTATCACCGTTTCCTTCGCAACCTCGAAATTATTCCTAGTCGCTTTAAATTGTACCTTTAATCCGGAGGTCTCGAAGAAAGCCATTAACCCCCGTGAAGTTCATTTTTTTTTAGACATATTTTTTTTTAAAACGTAAAAATTAAATTTCACGTCACCAATTTAAATTTCACGTCACCTTAAGGGTGACGTGAAACGCTTTAAATTGTACCTTTAATCCGGAGGTCTCGAGGAAAGCCATTAACCCCCATGAAGGTCATTTTTTTTAAGACACATTTTTTTTTTTAAAACATAACAAAAATTAAATTTCACGTCACCTTAAGGGTGACGTGAAACGCTTTAAATTGTACCTTTAATCCGGAGGTCTCGAGGAAAGCCATTAACCCCCGTGAAGTTCATTTTTTTTAAAGACACATTTTTTTTTAAAACGTAAAAATTAAATTTCACGTCATCAATTTAAATTTCGCGTCACCTTAAGGGGGTGGGAAAACATTGGAACGGATCGACTTCGATATGACACTTTTCTTGGAGAGCATTAAATCGATCCGGCTGAAATTTCAACACTCGCGAGCGCGGAAGAGATGTCTCGACGTTTTCGGAATTCCCATTATCGGGAGAATTTTTTTTTTTTCGGTTTAGTCTGAATTGAAATTTTCTATCGTTCCAGTGGACTGGCTCGAGGGTTTCGCGTCACCTTAACGCGCTTTTAGACTTTCTTAGATATTTGCTAATCTCCTCGGCTAATTCCTCGATTTAACGAGGGCGCGATCATAGCCTCGAACTATTCGCCGGAAATTGCCCCCGCCATAAAGTGACAACGATAATGGGACGGTCCGTCGTGATCGACGGTGCAATTACCGAACTAATTGATCACGGTTTTCGGCTAATCGACTCGCCGATCAATTCCGTCGCGTTTCGTCCGTTAACGTCGATTTAATTGGAAGTCGGCTCGCGAATTTCGGGACGTTTCGTGAAATCCCCGAAATTCGATAAAATACGAATCGGAACAAATGCCCCGAGGAAATGATTTACTTTCCAGGCGGAATTAATTATTCGCGGCGATCTAAATGTTCCAAAGAAAGTCCTCTTTGGCGAAATTGATTTTGCATTTATTTTCTCTATTCAAAAAATAACGATTTGACTCGAACTCGAATAAATCGGAGGCGACGTTACTTCGGAGTTACAATTCATCTGAATTTGGGTGAAATAAATATCCCTTTTTTATTATCAATTTATTATGAATTAACGAAATATTTCTTCGTATTGCCGGCAATGCCTGATAAACGTCCATTCCACAGAATATCTTTTTTTATTTTTTTTTTCGCCCCCAAACTGATTTTCCAGCTCTATGTACGCTGGGGAAATAAATGCCTCGATAAATCGTCCGTATTCCGCAGTCGGTCCGAAAGTGTACTCGCGGTTTGGGGAAATCGAGGCGGAAAATAGAGCGAAATTCAATGGGCTACTCACAGCGAAGTACTTCATTTTGGAGTTGGCTACGAGTGGAGTTGCTGCTACTCGAAGGGTGGATCGTCGGAGGAATGATGCCTCCTGCTTTTTTACGGCTCCCTTATATACCGGCCGATCGCCGTCGAGACGCGAGCGGAATCGCAACGATCGGAGACCTCGGGGCGGGATCGATCGCCGATCGCGACTCGATGCGGCCGATCCGCCGCGGGAAGGCCGCACGTCCACCCGCGTTGGCCAACTCCACGCGAGTCCTTGGCTCGGGGCCAGCAACGAAACATCGAAAGTGTCCCTACATTGCGCGATCCCGACGATTCTTGTCATCGAGTCGATTCGATCGATCGGATCGATCGGATCGATCGGATCGATCGTTGCGCTTCCGCAGTCCTCGAGAATCGCGGTCGGCCCGTGCTTCAGAAATTGGAAATATTGGGAGATAAGGCCTGGCGAGGAAGAAGGGCTCCTTATCACTGACTCGTTCCCTATCTTCGGTCTGTAATCCTGAAAATCATTTTTCAGGTATTTCAATTATTTACGTTTTTAATGGTATAGGAGGTGCTTAAAGGTACTTATAGCGCGGAGTTGATAAAATCGGTCTGTAATCGTGAAAATCATTTTTCAGGTATTTCACAGTTATTTACGTTTTTAATGGTATAGGAGGTGCTTAAAGGTACTTATAGCGCGGAGTTGATAAAATCGGTCTGTAATCGTGAAAATCATTTTTCAGGTATTTCACAGTTATTTACGTTTTTAATGATATATGAGGTGCTTAAAGGTACTTGTAGCGCGGAGTTGATAAAAATCATAATCGGCCCGTGCTTGAGAAATTGGAAATATTGGGAGATAAGGCCTGGCGAGGAAGAAGGGCCCCTTATCACTGGCTCGTTCCCTATCATCGCTCTGTAATCGTGAAAATCATTTTTCAGGTATTTCAGTTATTTACGGTTTTAATGGTAAAGGAGGTGCTTAAAGGTACTTGTAGCGCGGAGTTGATAAAATCGGTCTGTAATCGTGAAAATCATTTTTCAGGTATTTCAGTTATTTACGTTTTTAATGGTATAGGAGGTGCTTAAAGGTACTTGTAGCGCGGAGTTGATAAAAATCATGATCGGCCCGTGCTTCAGAAATTGGAAATATTGGGAGATAAGGCCTGGCGAGGAAGAAGGGCTCCTTATCACTGGCTCGTTCCCTATCTTCGGTCTGTAATCGTGAAAATCATTTTTCAGGTATTTCAGTTATTTACGTTTTTAATGATATATGAGGTGCTTAAAGGTACTTGTAATTCGGAGTTGATAAAAATCATGATTTAAAAAGGAAAAGTAAGAAATCGGTGACGTTTATATTATATGCGGCTGTTTTGGATGTTTTCTGGTTACTCGAGTAAACGGCTCGTTTAAAACGTTAGCCGATAAAAAAGATCCTGATAATAGGAAAAATAATTTGTCCACGTATTTCATTCATCCGGGAACTTTATTCGCCTGCACTGGTAGGTGTATGAAAAAAAAAAAAAAAATTACCTCCACGAGAAGTGCCTCTCCGGATCGATTATTTCTTGCCCTCCTTATCACTAACCCGTTCTTCCCCCTGCTCGAAGTCGTATATTTCATTCGGTCGCATCTTTTACTCAACCCTTCTGGAGGCGCTTAAAGGCGGACCTCCACCTCGGCGACTATTCGTTCCGTTTAATGTTATCGGGGCACTCGGCACGTTATCGGACTCCTTGGTCCCGAGTTCCTCTCTTTCCTCCTGCGAAAGGATTCCTTCCCCCAAAAGGGACTCCTTCGCCGCGGCAATTCCGGCCCGTAATCGACGTCGCCTTTGAAAGGCTCGTCAGGCCTGAAAAAAAGATCTCGTAGAAGGACAAACGCTATTTTCCTCGGAGCCGGCGGACTATTAATCACATTTATTCCCTCTCGTTTATCGGACAAAAATGGAGGAAGGGGGGGGGCAAAAAGATGAGACGAGGCTGCCAGGACCTCCGCATTAACGTTTCTCCGAGAGTCGGCGGGATTTTTCACGCCGAGCGACCCCCGCCCATTTACATTATCCCGTCGGGCTTTATTTAGCATAAAGCGTCGCGACGTCTACAAACGATATTAACCGAAGCATTTATTCATGTCGAGGAAATATTTCGAACCGACGAAAAAATTCTTCTCGAGTCGACGAAATATTTTCCCGCGATTGCGCGAGCACTTTGCATGTCGCCGGTGCGCTCGCCTGACACCGTTCGACTAGTTGCGTAACGCCCGGTCGCGGCCATTACCTTTCCCACGTGCCTCGGGACGCTTTTCGCATGGCGAACGAGGAGGCGCCTGGAAAGGAGTAAAAAAATAAAAATAAAAGTGTCAGTGTTTGCTCTTTCCTCGGTCCGTAAACAGTGGGCGAGCATTGTCTCCGGTGGATGTCACTCGGGGACAGGGAGCAGGGGACCTTGCATCCCCCGCGGGCGCCAAGGGCCGACTGAAGGGCCATTGTCTCGCGAAAGGTCGAGGACTACCGCGAGGCGAGGCCGAGCGGCCGGCGCTCGCGATTGGCTGGCCGCTCGGCCAATCACAGCGCGCCTCGCGGGAGAGTCGCGCGACAGTCGCGGTTCCGAGCGCAGAACCCGGCCGGCGCTCGACGGGGTAAGTAGGGGGCAGGGGTCCCAGGTAAGGTAGGGGCGCGACACCTCTCACGGGAGGGGTATTATCGCCTGGCGTTAGTTCCTGGTTACCTGACGGCACGAGGGGCTGCGCTAGTGTCGCAATTTTTCACTCTATGGATAGAAAAGCAACGAGCGCACACGGTAAGATAACCTAGATAAAACCATGGTTAAGACGGAACGAGGCGTTAAGGAGCATGCACTTGACTCCGGCGTGGCTGGGAAGAGGAAGTGAAAATACTCACGAAGACTTAAACTAGGAGGGAACAAGACCCGAGGGTGAAACTAGAAACAACGACAGCGGTGCTGCAAGTATCATCTGTGGGAGATTAATTTAACTTGATGAAACAACGTACTGTATTTATAAATGTATTTCATTGTAAGCGCAGCGCTTTAAGCAATACTTTTTCCCAATTGCATCATCGTGTGGTACATTTATTTAAATACCTACGTATAGTTGAAGCACGGATCGGGATAAATGTAGGGTAATTTAGGCGATTAATATCGCTTTATGGGGGGGGATTTGGTTATCCTGGAAAGGGGTAAGAGGCGGAAAAGCGACTCGTCGCCCGCCGGGCGCGTTTGGACCCTCGTTTTTCCCTCCGAAAAAGGAGTCAACGGCCTTTGGCGAGAAGGCCCGCCATTACGCTCGCGGTACGTAGGTAGGTAGGTACCTACGTACACTTGGGGGGGTGCACTTGCCCCGCTGCTTACGCTTTCGAGTATCTCCCACTCGGCGCTCACGGAGAGGGCAAGAAATACCCCGGCTGGCTCGGGCTCTTTTTCTTCCTCTCTCTCTCTCCGAGGGGACGCCATTGTACTAATTCACGGCGCTAATGTCGAGAGTTTTCTAAAGAACGGCGAAACAATGGAACTACTCTGGCGGCTAGGGTCTCCGGTGTCGTTCTTCGGCGACCTGCGACGATTCGTGATAACCTGCGACGACTCGCCGCAAATCCTAATAATTCTTGGATAACATGTGATTAGGCTCGATAACATATTTTTTATTGTAAGGACTTTTGAAACTAAAAATTCGGATGATTCCTAATTGACTCGGGACAAATCGTGGTTTCACGTTGTTCGGAATGTCCTGTCCAAAAACTTGGCTCGGAAGAAAAAGTTGGATTATTATTTTTTTTAGGACTTTTAGAGGTAAAAATTCGCGACTCGCGGCGACGAGTTTCTATCACGCCCTTCGCAATTTCGCATTCAGAGAGGGAAAACGCGCGAACTCGTCCGTTTTCTCTCTTCCTTTCCCAGGTAATCCGATTATTATCTCGTCGTCTCGCGGCCTCCGGGGTAGTCGCATCCCCCGGGAGGGCTCGTCCTCCTCCGAGGGGGTGAAATTTTCGCAGTCGGAATTTAAAGCGAAATCCGGGCCCAGGAGAGGGCAAAACGGCTCCGGCATCGTCCAATTACGGGAGTCCCTGGAGAAGATGGAGTCGGAGAGTGCCGGAACGAATGGGACGATCGATCAGCCTTTGGGGGTGACGAACCCCCCGGAAGGAATCGCTCCTCCGGTCGGTCTTTCGAATCTTTTTCGTCAGCTTAAAAGTCTCACCGAAAAAAAAAAACTAGTAAAATGAAATAATGCATTCGCATGTTTCTTGTGACTAAAGAATCCTTCCACATATGGGAGGCGTATACGCGTCTCCGCTGTCGCGTTACTGTTAAAAAAGAAAAAAAAAAAAAAGGAGGAAAGGAAACAATGCACCCTTTGAAACTACACTCGAGATGGCACTTATTTTCGACTCGTCCCAGGATTTTTCCAACAATCCCAAGGTCGATCTTTCGGTGTATCCGTGCACAAAACCCTTTTCTTTTTCGAGATCTTCTAGAATCGCCCGAATCGCGCTAATGGACCCGCGAGATGCGTTTTGTCGGATGAAACGCCGAGAAACGTCAAAGGCGCCACTTTTCATCGGGTCATTCCGCTCTTTTTAGAATTCCTTCCCCTTTTACGAGCGAAAATAGCCGAAACGGGAGCATCCCCTATTTCGGATATTGCGATTCTACCCTTATTCCGAAAAACGCGATTCATCCCCCTTTCTCCTTCATGGCCTTGAACCTATATCTGGGAAGAGTCGTATGGTTTTTTTTTCTCCCCTTTAAGAATTCTTTTTTCATCCCTTGCGAGGAAAAGGGTGAGTTCAAAGTCGAGACGGAGAAAATCGGTCGCTCTTTGTCGCGGGGAGGTAAAAGGGGGGGGAAGTCGGGAAGACGGAAATGGACCACCGGTAGGCTCTCGATATTTGATTTCCTCCCTGTTTGTCGAGGGGTGGTCGGGGGTTGCCGAAATATTGGCTCCGATTGCCGGATAAGGCTCCGACTCGCCGATGAAAATTCAATCCGCGCCTTCGGGAGATCACTCGGCGGAAAGCCCGCTGATACTTCGGGGGTGCATCCGGGAGGGGGTTGGAAAAGCGTGGAAAGGGTTGCAGCCCCGGATCGATCGCCGCCCCGGGAGATGCACGACTTTCGAGGCCTCGACGTCGAGAAATCAGAGAAATCGGAGAACCATTCTGACTCTTCGGGAAA